AAATGACTGTATGAATGAAGCTTGAATAAATAGAATAGTGTGCACACAGAGATCTAGCATTAAATCTAAACAGGGTGGAACAAAATCAGCCTGAACTTTAGAGATGCTGGTAGCACAGCTAACCAGCTGCTGGCAGTAGCTTCATAATTTAGAGTACAGACGTGAGAGTGGTATCGATCTCTTCATCTAAGTCTCTACAATGGGTGTATTTCCCAAACTTTTAAATTATTCCTATACATCCATAGTCATGATTGCATTCTGAGCCGTCTATTATGCAACCAGGTGCTCCCACAAACGCATCAGATGTCTAGTTATGTGAATATTTGCATTGGTCTAATATTGTATTATATTAACTTTTGTCTGACGTGTAGTCGATAATCAGTTTTTACAGTCAAAGTGATTTCCTTCCGAAGTCGGGATCAACCTCTCACAGAATAGTTGAGTTATATTAAGTGCTTTTGACAGCTGTCGTATCATATTTGTGCAGCTGCAGAGGCACATATAAAGCACAGTTCGACTAAACCCGGTCGTCACTTCGGATCGTCTCGCACACGTGGACAGCTTTCCCGCTGTGAATGTCAAGTGCGAGTTATTGAACAGAGTCGGAGGTAGAGGAGTCTCGCTGATCCCCTGGCAGCTACTTAGCCTCTAACGCTCGGCAGGTAAAGCACAAAAAGAAGCTCCAGCTCAGTCAGACTTCGGGGATTATTTACTTAGACCCTGCACAGAGTGTCCGACTTAATTTCTCAAACACCCTTCATTTCCTAGTGCTGATAGTGCTGCAGCGTCCTAGCATGTCAGTCCCAATCACTCCTGCCTCACTTGACTCAGGTTTGTGTTGGAGAGAGAGAGAGAGAGGAAAAAAGAGAGATTTAACAGAGCTTTTTACATTCTTCCTCATATTTGTTCAGCTCTCTTCATGCCCAAATACAATGCATTATGTTCCATTTTTCAAGAAAGCCGTAAGTGGTGGGGACTAAAGGGGATTTGGTAAAAAGCCAGGCAGTATCAAGCCTGACCCCATGACGCTTTTTGTTTGCTGTTTTCAAGTTACAGGCTGTGTTTTTCTGCTTTAACAAAACAAGCAAATTGCATTCTCTCTGTCCTCCGGCTCTGGATGTAATTTTTCGCCTGCCAGAGCAGCTTCACACCGCGCCTTATCTCTCTTTTAAATTGGCCACACACAATAACAGCATCCTCTCCGCAAAGTTGTGCCATTATTATTGTCATAGGTAAACACAATGTCCTGCTGAAGACCTTGAGGTCTATCAGTCGGCCTCTCTGCGTCTCCACTTCCACACATTTGCTTTGAAATTGTAAGGTCTGCAGATCCCACCCCCTTTATTTATTGCACCAAGCTTCTTTTTTTTTTTTTTTTGCTCCAGGACATTCAGCACACGTCTAGGGATGTGGTGCATGTGTGCGAATGTGTGTCTGCATTTCTGTGTGCCTGCTGCTAGAGTGGCAAATGGCTAATGAATAATGCAGGGTAATAGTGATGTGTTGACACCTCTGACGGCTGAGAGCTGCCGAGCTGTGTATCACTGATAATGTGCCATTTCCCTTCTGTGCTCCTTCACTCCCTTATTTATAACTAATTACAATTTTTTTTTTTAATATATATAATTTCACCTTCCTACAAGCCCCAGTGTCAGTGTGAGTGTGACAGAGTCTGTTGGGCCGCCTGAACTAAAAGCTAAAGTACAATGTGCACTTAAAGATACATTTTACAGGACTTAAGTTTAGCTGGTCGGTCTCTAAATTCATTTGAACTTGTTTCTGCGGTTTATGCTCGGTGGCTCTGGTGTGGTCTGAAAGCATAGTGCTGTATTAAAGTTTTTGGAGTCATCATATCCTATTCCCATCTCCTCCTCCTCTATAGCCAAGCAGGGCTTTAGCTATTACTAAGGATTTTTCGATTGTGTCCTCAGTGTTTTTGTCTAGAAATAGAGGTTTTACTTTTAGCAGTGCGGTTTATTATTGTGTAATTTGCAGTTGATCCTTGTGAGTTTTTAAGCTCATAGAATTACTATTTTTAAGCCAAGAAACAATATCTTACAGAACAAGACTACGAGTCTCCAGCCACGCAGCTCTGTGAAGCTATACTTGGGCACAGCAGTGCTTTGAGCTAAATGCTAATGTCAGCATGCTAACATACTCACAGTGGCAATGCTAACAATGCTGATGTTTAGCAGGTGTAATGTTTACCATGTTAACCATCTGAGTTTAGTGTGTTACTGTGTTAACATTTGCTAATCATCACAAAAGTAGAGCCACGGCTCATGAGAGTGTTATTAGTTTTGCGGGTATTTGGTGATGATGGTGCTGGATGAAAAGTGAACGAGTCACATATTATGGAAACAAAGTTTTTTTTATAAATTTATCAAACCAAATGAAAATATTTAAAGCTCAAATGTTTTCTCTTTAATTGGTTTTCGACACAGCTCTGTAATGCAAATCTTTGGGTTTCATTACCCCCAGCCATCTCATCACCACCCCCACCGTCTCCTCTCCTGATTTAATAAGGTTTATAAACATAATTGCTGGTAGTCATGATTCATTTTTTGTACATAATTTGAAAAACCAGCAGAAATGGACATTTGACAAGAGGCCAGAAAATGATGCGCCTTCTCCATCACGGTGCTAAGTGACGGACGTAACGAGAAATGTAGACGAGATGTTTCTCTGTGACAAGAAGAACAGTTTACATTTGAGCAGGCTGGAATATGACGTGAATTGTTTTGGGGAATTAACCTTTTAGTCATCACTCACACCTCCCATCATGTGTATGCCAGCTGCTTTCACAGCACAACAATGTGAGAGAAAGGAGTTTTACAGTTCATTATTTCTGATTCACAACACTGTTTTCCACACAACTGGAATGGAAATTACATAGTTTTAATGAGCTGGTTTCAAGCTGGTTTTTATCAATGTCATAGTCCCGTGCTTTCGCTTTGTGATTTCATTTGCCAGCAGGAGACTTGGAGACTTCTGGATCGTACCGAGGTTCAGTGAATGGGACTTTACTCCCGTACAATAGCCTGTTTAGTTGTGATGAAGGTTTTTGACCATAAGTTGATCAGCTACTGCCTAAAAGCATTCTCCTGCTTTCCTGAACAGGTAGATTATTTATTTTACTCATTTCAGAAGTTGCAAAACAAGTCTGAGAGGTCAAGAAATGATTGACAGGATAGGACAGCAGAGAAAACATTTTACTGCTGCACCAATTGACTCGTTTTTTTAAGACTTTCCTCTAATCTTTGCTCTTGGATGCTATCCGTCTGTCTGCCAGTTGGTCCTCTAGTTTGGTCCACACTGAACTACCTCTACAACCATGAGATGGATTTCCATCACATTTTGTACCGACATTCACAGCTCCAAAACGATGAACGTTAATGACTTTGGTGATCCCCTGACTTTCCCTCTATAGCACATTGTAGTTTTTTCAGTGAAAGGCTTTGACAACCATCAGATGGATTTCCGTAACTGTTTGTACAAACATTCATGTCATTTTAATAACTTTCGTTATTAAAATGATTCACTTGTTATATAGTTGAGGTGATCACAGCTGGTAGACACATGCGATGAGGGCGAATAAGTAGACATTCCTTTGATTTTTTTTAAGGGATCAAAAAAGTTGGTGAAACAGCTGGCGTTTGTGTTGAGCGCTGTCCAAGTTGCTATTCCTGGAACAGCTGTCTAAGGGACTTGAACAATAAAGTGCAGCATACTGCTGGTAACTATGACAGGATGCATCATGGTTGAGAGGATTTGCCTTTCCAAATATCTACTTATCTATATTCAGTGTGTATATATAGATATATATAGATAGATAGATATTTGGAAAGGCAAATCCTCTAAACCATGATGCATGACATCACTGTTATTATTATCTTTCTTCTCTTCTATTTTTATTCTATGTGTTTTTTATTGTTTTCATCTCTTTTACCCTTCTTATCTTTCATCATCGTTTGTCTTCTCTCTGCTGTGTTCTTGCTGTAATGTTCTCTTGCTTTAGTTTGGCCTTGCTTACTTACTCACTGTTTGACTTGCGGTTGTTATGTTGCCTTCTGGGTGTCCTGCTTTTGCTTTGTCTGTCAAATCACTTTGTAAACTCTGTTTTTGAAGGTGCCTAAACTTCTTAGTTATTATTATTATTATAATTATTATCATTATCTGTGGTCCTCCATAATATCTGTGCTGTATCACACTGTGGTGATGGCGCCATTTCCACCCCCATCATTATCCGTATCGCGCTGTGCACTCTGTCTAATTTATACAAGGTCTATGGTACTCTGCATTGCTGAAAGGCAGGGGGTCCTCTGGGAGCGCGCAGCCACCTGCCATGCAGGTGTACACTTTATGACCCACTTACTAGTCTGGTTTTGACAAAACCTCGAGTGAAGATGCATCTCTACAGTGTTGTTGTGTGTTTGAAAATGATCAAAGCTTGAGAGGTCATAACAACACTAGTTTGATGCTGATGAAAGGATTATGCATGTTTTTATTGATTGGCCTCCGGGGTTCCTGCATCATTCACAGGGGGGCGACGTGTGGGCTGCTGTTCAACAAACCGATGAAGAGTGTTTCTTTTCTCACCTTACATACATATATATATATATATATATATATATATATACTGAAGTGTGAATTTTACAACCTCTTTAACTATTGATGGACACAATAGTAAATTAGAAATATTACTTGTGAAACTTTCAGTACAACAGACATATGGTTACACACCTGAGGGCTGTGCTGCAGATGCATTTACATTCACATTTGCATTTTTGATACCTCGCTGAAGATCACGAACAGCTGTTAGAATCATTTTCATGCTAAGATTAGCTGAATTACAAGCACACACGAGCGACGAGTACAAAGGTCAGAGAAATGGAGTCCTGGAAACTGTCATAGAGGTTATTTATTTTCATGGAAATTATTTAAAAGTATTTATGCAAATTAATATTAGAGTAAAAGGGCTGACTTTGTGTGTTTTGCAGGATCCAGTCCGGCTCCTACCTCAGCACCGGCTGGTTTACGCTTATCCTCGCCATGGACATGTGCAAAGAGATCCATATCTACGGAATGATAAATGACACCTACTGCAAGTAAGACACCAACAACCGCCCTCCATACATGGAGGAGAAATGCACATGCTCCTACAAAAACTCAAAAAAACTAGATTCACATTCACAGCAGCGCTGGCCAATCGCAGCCTCCCATAATCACATACTGCCCTGTTGGAATACATTTACAATTCCTCAGTTTGTGTTTAATGGCTGAATTTCTATGCTGAAATCCATATTGGGTTTTCTCTGTGCCGTGAATACCATTAAGTTTCCCTGCCTAGAATACCCAGCGGGCTGCAGAGTCTCTGCTGCTGCGGGTGGCTGGGCTGCTGCACCCAATTCCTCCCCTGCTTACAGTTTTATTTGTATATCGGCCTGTCATTGTTCTCAGACTCTCGGGTAAGTGATTGCTGTCTGGCTGCGAGGCCATAGGAGGGATGACAAACAAGATGCTGTTGCTCTAGGCATGGCTGCTCGGTCTCAAGTCGTCTCAGCCTTGATTGACTCGACTTCTCTCTCTCCATACGTCTCCCCTCTCGGCTCAACCTGAGCTCTTTCTATCCCCCAAGTCAAACACTTTTACCTAATACACGGTGGAAATCCTGCCTTTTATCCTCTCTCTGCTCCCCGTGCACAGTGGGAGTTGAAATACAAACAGCCCCAGACACATGGCAGAGAGGAGTGATAATTCAACCAGCACTGAGGATTTTATGATTCAGTGAGGCAGCTGAAGGGTCCCTCCCTGCTCGTCTCCCACTTATTTATTTTGCTGCGTGAGACCGGAAGATATTGTGTTTCACTAAGTTTCTGAAGGGACAATTTAGTGTCACGCAAGTTTTTGTCGGCAGCCGGCAACAAAAAGATGAAGTGAAGTTTTGTGCGACGATGTTTAAAGCTCGAGTCAGACTTGACCTCGGCAGATATGTGGTAATGGAGCTTCAACAGGTGCTGCAGAGAGGGTGAAATTGAATTTATTTGTCAACGCTGGTGCGCAGCACTGTGTGACACGGAGAGGAGAGAGGCAGGGATTGGGTTGTGTGTTACTGTTAGCTGGCAGACAGCCATCGTTGCATTCTCGCTATGTGGACCCACTGGTGACGGCTGCTTCTCTTCCGTCTGTGTTCATTCTCCCAATGAAATTGTTACACAAGTCATTTTCTCATAAAGCCGTCACTCGCTATTAGATACCAACTGCAGAGTGCTCAATGAATCTACTCTACTGCTGCTGCTGCTCCTGTTTTTATTGATTCCTCATTCGTTGTAATGGTTTGAAGATGCAAACTGTAAACAGAGAAACTCAACATGACATTCAGGTATGAAAGGCTTAACTCACCCCACTGTACAATACTCAGGATATTTAGGATGTTTTCAGATTTACTTTTGGCTCAGAATAGAGAAGAACATTGCCATGATATCAAAAAACAATACGTGGTATTTGTTTCTTGTGGGGATAAGAGTATCTGTTGAAGACATTTGGCCGCCAACAACAACAACTCCTTTTTTTGATGAGAGAAACCTGGCGAGAGGAGAACTGTGCCTGGAGTCAGCATCAGTTCAAACTGCTGATCGTTGTCCTGAAGGATCTTTAGTTTAATAGTTCAATCATTTTGTTTGCTTAATAGTTCATATAATAGTTTTTAAAGATGTAATTTGCTGTCCGGAAAAATGCTTTTGCCCCAAATTTTGCGTCACAAGCTAAATCATGTTAAAACACTACACTATTAAATATAATATGTATTATTCATGTATACAGTATAACCTACTCAGAAAATGTAACAATCACTCATTTAATCATGCCTGTCCTGTGTGATGTAGCGCCTGAGTCTTAATAATCCTAATATGTGTTTTACATGTATTAATTAGAGATTCACCGATTCCAGTTTTCACCTGTTGATTCTATAATTGTCAGCATACACAAACATTTTTGTAGCTTTTCCTTCATGGGGAGTTCAAATTAAATTGTATTTCCATAATAAAACATTGACTATTAAATAACTTGCATTTCCTTCAAAGTTCCAGGACCTTCTCTCACTCAAACAAATCTTAAAATAGAAGTGCTCGAGGTTACTGGACAAATATAAATGCAGCATATCCCACTTTATCTAGCATGTCTCCGACAGACGCATATCTTTACAACACAGACCTAATGTCATTCACATAAATACCTCGACACCACCGACATGACAATAAGATGGCAATAGGCTACTCCCCCGTAACAGAAGCATACTTAACAGATTCAGTGTTTAAATATGGATTCTTGCTCTCCTTCTCTTCTCTTCTCTTTCTTTCTTTCTTCCTCTCCTCTGTAGGACGGAGGGTTACAGAAAGGTTCCCTATCACTACTACGAGGCGGGCAGCCGGGACGAGTGTGCAGAGTATCTGCTCCATGAGAGCGCCCCCTACGGCGGGCACCGCTTCATCACAGAGAAGTCTGTGTTCGCCAAGTGGGCCAAAACTCACGCCATCAAGTTCTTCAACCCGCCTTGGCAGCTGTCGTGACCCTGGCTGAACCGATATGGAAATACTAAACCGACAACGTCATCGTCATCATCATCGTCGTCATCGTCATCATCGTCGTCGTCACCTGGGGACCAGCTGGATCTCGACATTGACAAAAAGCATGTTCCCTGATGTGCACAAACATCCATTTTGGCACAAATTCCACTTCATATCCATTTAAAAAAGGTTGGTTGATGGTTTGATTTTGAAGGCCACGCGATGAGAAAGACTTCCAGTTAACATTTGACCAACCAAGACAGCAAAAACATATCTCCTGTTTTTTGGATGTCTTTTTTGTTCTCGTGAATTTGGGAGCAGAGAGTTGCTGCTCTTCACTGGCTAATCGATCCATTCGCTGCTCTGTGAGTTTAGCAAAGGATGGCTCGAAGACGAACATTAAGAAAAAGGGAGAAAAAAAACGGAAGAAGTAACAACCCATCTGTCAACTCTCAGTGACCTCAGTGGCTCGCATGTCTGCAGGCGCTGCACATTGCAAAGACCGAATTTAAATGTTTTTTTTAGGACTGAAGCTGAAGAAGAGCTCGGCTGCTGCAGAGACGAGTCACGTTGCCATGGACGCCTGACAAGCTCGCCTCCTCTGTTTCCTGTGCGTGTCCGTCTTCTTCTGTCAGGCTGTAATTAATCCGTAGCGAGTATCTTATTCAGGCCTTTAACTCTGACTGATGGATTACCGGGGGCAGGTTTCAATTTCCTCTGCTCCGTCTAAAAAAGCCTCAACAAATATTTCAAAAATCAAACAAACATCAGCTCTCAGTCAAACTCGAAGGTCAGCTAGAGTTGTGGATGTAAATCAGCTTTTTCTTTTTATCATTGCGCTTTGTTGTCATGTTGTGTGTAAACTTTACACAACTCAAAGATGTCAGCTTTCTCTTTCTTACATAATGCTGTAAAATTGAATTTGACGAGACGTGTTTTGGCTCGATTTCCAGATAAGTTGCTAATTTATTCTGCGGAGAAAAGTTTAACAGTGTGCCATCGACAATGTGGGCATCACAGCACATGGAGCAGTGTGCAATTACAAACTCCGCACTCACGGGAGGAGTAAGTGACCCCCGCAGAGGGAGAGATTTATGTGTGCAGTGAAACCATTTGAAGTTAATTGTATTCTATTATCATTTTGTGCCTGCAATATACTCTGCAGTTCATTGTAGAGGGACAGAGGTAGATGCTCTCTCTCTCTCTCGCTCGCTCATATCCTCATCCAGCTTTGTGCCTCTTTGTGTACAGTATCACTGTGTGAGCACACATCTTGCCATTTGTCTTTGAACGGGGGCGTGCGTGTCTCCCAGTTCAGGTCATTACATTGGAATGCATCTGTTCCAGGACAGTGAAGAATAATCAGTGAAGTGCTGAGGTGTGTAGGTTTGGCGAGGACCGGTGGAGGGCTGAGACACTCTGTGACCGTGACCCCCCCTCCCCCCCCTCGGGGCTGTGATTAGTGTCCCGGTCAGAGCTGCTGCCCAGAGGGGAGGACTGGAAGGATTCAAAGACTTCTAATTTAGGCGAATTGATGCACAGGGTCCCTGACGACTGTAATATACTGCAGCTGAGCTTCACCGTCTCACTCCTGCTGCAGAGCACTGTTTACTATCACACATAGGCACTCTATTTTGGGCTTTGGGATTTGGTGATTTACAGGTCAAAAGACATGTAGGTTGAAACTGGCAGGTTTTTGGATGTCTTGGCAGGGATGTAGCTGCCATAGATGCAGTGTGGTGAGGATTTTATAACCCAATTGCAGTATTTTTAGTTTGGATTTGACTTCTTTTAGGCCAATCATTTTCAGCATTTCGTTCCCCAAAATGGTAGCTTGGAGACGGACTTGCAATAGGATTTAGATGTTCATGCTGGAAAGGAAAACTTACAGAAAGTATAACTGAAAAGTTAATTGAAAGGATAATGTATGCAAATTTAAAAATGAAGAGGACCCTCTGGGGTTTTTGGCCAGAATCAGGAGGGTGGATGGGAGACTCATGATCTTCCTATTTCTAAAATTCTGGCTACAGCTCTGTGTTTATGTGTCATATAACTATTTTTCAACAACATTCAAATGACTATAATTCAATACAAACCAGGTTCAACTACACATATACAAATATATCTGTATATAAAATGAATATATGATGTGCTGTATCTATAAAAATTAGCCCATTTTCACTGCACAAACGTGTATGTAACTTTGTTTTCCAGACAGAGTTAGGTACCCGAGAACTTACAGAGAATGACCCACAACTCCAGACGCATTGTAAGTCCGTCTAGCTGACAGGAGCGTCAATGTAAAACCGCCCTATTTTAAATTCCACCTGGTGGAGCTCAGCGTATGAACGGAACACAGTTGGGGTCACGGTTCAGATATCGACACGTGTTCGAGAAGTACGCAGTGTCCCAGCACGATCCACCTCACGATGTATGTAGAAGCAGAAACGTTATTTCTCCTATTCTGGAAGCCTGAAGATAAGATCTGGGCCTCGGGAGAAGTCAGAAATTACACTTCTTTCTGCTCCTGTGGGAAAACAGCCCTTGATATTGAATTCATACCGCCATGCATGCTACATGATAACCGTACATCTTTTATACATTACCACTCGGCCTGTGATTGTGCAGTCACGTGGCAGCTCTCCACCTGCTGTACAGTATATCCACCATGAATTGTAAACTGGTTGACACCGAGGTAAGATTTGATGTCCTGTTTAGTTGTCCCATGATTTGTATGTGTGTTATGGTGTATTGTTTGATTTCAATTGTTTACTCCTCTCGTTGCTCTTTTTTTTTTTCAACGGTTGCTTACATTTTTTTGCTGATGCAGTGGTTTGTGTGCAGCATTTTTTTTTCTGCTGCGAGTCGCATGTTGCCAACATTTTCTGCTTCTTCAGGCTTTGCTCTCGGCTATTTCCTGATCAGCAAACACTCCAATGTTCTCAGCCGGAACACAATGAAAGAATACCAACAGATGTATTATGCAGGGACATAATGGAGGAGACGCCCTTATATAGGCTCCCATGAATCATCTGTGGCTCACTGGAAGGGAACTGGAGACACAGTCGCTATGAATAAGTAACACTATGAATGAAAGTGTGAGCAGAATGGGAGGCCAAATATACTTTTATCTTTCAGGGATGCATTTATTCAAGAAGATTTGTTTTTTACTTTAAAGGAATACTTTGACATTTCGGAGTTAGATGATAAGTTTGATGATACAGCTCTCAAGGCTGTACAGTAAATATGAAGCTACGGCCTGCAGCTGGCTAGCTTAGCTTAGTACAAAGACTGGAAACAGGGAGAACAGCTACCCTGGCTGATTTCTTGGTGACCACAGAGAAAACTACAGCTCCCATTAAAATGCAACAGCATTTTGTTTTCTTTAGCTGTTATCTGGCACCCAGTCCTCTCTGTCCGACTGTTAACACAGACATGTCTGAACGAACCACGACTTCTCCACCCGCTCGCCTCTTTTGTCGAGTCGTGAAGTTTGTCTGTCGTAGGGCTGTTGTACATGTAGGGCTTATGGTAAATTGTAATAGATAACTTTTACTACCACCAGACATATGAACAAAGCCACACCATCTACTGTGGAGAAAGGCTCTGTTCCACGGCTGGATTCTGAGTTCTTACAATTGTTACAAATGTCGATGGAACTTCTGGAACAGAACTGCAAGTTCTGGTTATTTCGCTCAATTATTTCCCATTAAAATGGTGAGTTGTACTTTTTACTTTTAGGTTTTGTCCGGGTTAAACAAACCAGATATAACGCCACGTGTACATTAGTGAGCCAGGCTAGCCGTTACCTCGTTTCCAGCCTTTGTCTGTCTAACTCTCCGCAAAAGTACAAATGAATTTCCCAAAAATGTTATTGCTTAAATACTTAAATACCTAAAGAACTACCCTGAATTCGTGTTCATTTCCGATTCTGTCCCCTTTGTTTTGTTTGCCCTGCTTGAACTGATTTTGCATCACCTCCAGCGTTCATGCTATGAGCAGTGAAGCTTGTTTGAAAACTGATTAATTCATCCTCTCATACCTGAAGCAGACTGCTTTCTTTGTGCCTCGCTGTATATATGCAAATGGTGTAAAAAAAAAAAATACAAAAAAAAAACTGCTTGTCTTCAGCTACTCTGCAGCATAAGTGGCAGTGGAATGAGCTCCGATTGTTCGCTTGTATAATGAGAAGTTAAAAAAAATTTAATTGAAGGTCCTTTCCCTTAAAAGAGAGCTGGCTTAAAAAAAAAAAACCTGATTAAAACGTCTCCGTCTGAAGGTCTGCGGAACAAAGATGTGAATTTCATTATTCCTCGCCGTTTAAAATGCTCTCATTATTTTTGGATAATTGCTGTCTGTTTTGGAGTTGAGAGTTTGGACTGTCTCACCTCTTCAGTACCATTTTCCCTACTGACTGTTGTACTTGTTGATATTTCCCCCAAATGCCTCAAGTGCTTTCTTACAATGAAAATTAAATTTGTTTTGTCTTTCCCCGTGTGCACGTCTTAACAATTATTTTTTTGTGTTCCTTTTTTATTTACAGGTCAAGTGTCCTTGTGAAACGTGTAACTTCGGATGTGTGCTGAGTTACATAGAATGTAATATAACATGGAGGTTGTTATTATGAAGGTCGTTTTTGCTAACGCACTCCTTTTTACCGGTGGTAAAATAACATCCAAATGCTGCATGGAGTATTGCAGGTTGTTGAAATGTACATTTTGCTGAAGAAAAAAAAAAAAGTAGTCATTTTATGTATTATTCTGTCATTTGCTGTCTGCATATTAGCTAAAATAAGATATATTGTGAATGTTCTCATTTTTACCAATGTGTCCTCTGTCTCTTTTATTCTCTGTGGGGATTAAAGAAAACCTAAAAAAAAAACCTGTTACAAGATTAAAGTCCTTACTAAACAAAGCAAGCTGCATCCGAATATGAGAGACCTGCTGAAATGTGTTCATGTTCTATGAATGGAGCTCCAGCTAAGCTGTCGTCTCAAATCTGCCGTCTCACGACATTTTTAAAACGTCAGTGAAGGATCACAGATGTGCTGAGTTCAGACGGGGAGCTTCGGTGAGCATGAGAGTTTTTTTTTATGTAACCTCCGCATAAATACAGGACAAGTTTTAAATAATAATGCTCACATTCATGGTTTTTATGCTACAGTAATGAATAAAGTATCAAGATAGAAAATGAAAGAGACAGATTATAACAAGAATAGTCCAAAGCAAAGCAGCAGGCTGAGATGTCCTGACTTTATTTTGTCCTTATGATTATTAATGCTGTTATGTTTATATTTAGGTTTAACACAAAGCTCTTGGTTAAGATTGGGGAGATACAGGTCTTGTTAAAAAAAGTGACAAAAGATGTTTTTTTTTAACTTTTTTTACTCTAACATAAAGATCAATCTTAACGTAATTTATATTAAAGGGTTTTTGTATCCTAAACCTAATGTGACAAGGTAAGTCTAGGTCTCCTGTGTTCAAATCGTGTCTCTGCTGCACAAACATGTCTCCTCAAAACATATCAGGAAACCCCATGTAGAACGAAAATATAATATTTCGGAGTCAGGGTGGGTCGTCTCTAAGCTCACATACTCGACAAGAAGACGAAGATATTTTACCGTTTTCAAAGGCTGACAAATACTCCTCATGAGTAAACTGACTGTTATGTGCAAATATATCCACTCTCATTTCGAAAAACACTCATCTCTAACTGTCATGATGCCAAGTCTCGCCTTTTTGTGGTATTTTTCAAAATGTTCCAGAGCACAAAGTAAGCTTGAATAATGTTGTTCTATCCAACCCTCCTTTTGGCTTTCGTTTAGTTAATTGACAGTTTGAGTTGCTTTCTGCCTGAGCTGACCAACAACACGTCTCCAGCCCTGCATGAGTGATTCAGTTAGAGCAGCCGAGTCACATCAGTCCAAACATGAACATGTACTTCTGCTTCAATCAGCTCTCAGCCTCGGAAAATTGTGCCAGTTGTATCTTATAAGATAATAAGCCAAGGTGTCGGGCATCACTGAACTTACATTACATCTGCAGGCTCTTCAGAACCAGAATCGGGTTTATTATTAGGAAGGTTTTCACATACAGGGAATTTGTCTTGGTGTTTGTGTGCATAACAATACACATAGTGTCAGAAGATAAAAGATAAAGCAAATACTGCAAACAGAATAGAAAAATAGCTGCGAGCCTGGGTGAAGCTGCAGCAAGCTCACAGTGTGAGCAATGTGAGTAAAGGACATGATGTCATTTGAACGTTCCTACACCAACACAGAAACTATTTTGCCGTTGGCTCAATGGAAAAAATAAAACTACTTTTTCAATACTTTACCTTGAAGAAAGAGAAACAATCCTCCATTTCTACTTCAGTTACCTTGACACTGTTAAACCTCAATTCAATTCCAGCCCTACCTAATAGTTACTAGAATATTTCTTTCTTTCTGCTTTTATTTCTGTTGTGTTGCTGGCAGCTGGCATGCGTTAGAGTTTTCTGTTGTGTGCACAGCTCAGCTGCAAGGTCAACTAGACGACTGGAATCGTTTAAATTCATTGTTTGCAAATTGTTTGCAAATCCAGAGGTCAAACTCTTCTAGACCGTTTGACCTCTGGAACATGTTTGCAGGAGGACGTTCCCTCCAGGGCCAGATGGTGCATTCTCGTAACGTAAGGAAAGATATATGTGATGTTTGCTCTCTATAGCCCTACACTCTCATGTTTGAAGCACACTTCTATTACTTTTCAGATCAATAAAAACTCCTAGCTGACATATCCATGAAGTAAATAAATAATAATAATACATTGGCAAGTTAAAAAACAAAAAAAAGCGGTGACTCGATTTTATCCTAGGTTCAGTGTATACTCAAATAGCCTCAGTCTGTCAGTCTCAGTCGAAGACGATAAAAGACGCCCAATATCTTTTGTTTTGTTGTCAGTTGGTGTTGGAAAACACAATCGTAATGTACAATAATTTCTTGTTTACTCACTGTAAAAACAGTTTATTATGACAATAAATACTGTTTTCTAGAATTATGAGAGAATCTGACACTGAAGCCACAGCAACACGTTTCTGGTTGTTGTTAACATCGGAAAGCCTCTGAGCCCCTCACATATAAAGTAAGAATTAAAGGTTTTTAAAAATACACTTATTTGCTTTATTGCCACGGGTTTGTTAATCGTACATTTCCAGCAAGAAAGAGAAAAAACCTATTTCCCAAAATGTCGAGCAATTCATGGATGGATGAAAAGCTAAATGTCTAATTAACAGCATTCATAAGTTGGCAGTAATTATTGTGGTTTCACAAGAAGTAATGCTGATTGTCTCTCCTGTTTCAGACATGACTGTAGCAGCCTACTGTGCTGTTATCATTCAGGTCATTTTCTAGCCTACGAGTATTACAATTATATCATGAATGTATAATAAGTTCTTTGCAATACATCCATGAATTATCTGTACAAACACCATTTGCCTCCCCTGAAAGATGTTTTTGTCTAAGAATGATTGAACCCAAGTATTCTTGTCTCTGACATTTCATTTGGTCCAGGTAATCTGCTCTCAACACATCTTACATCTCCCACATCTTTTACTGTCTGGTTGCTAACTAAAGACCACTTTATTGTATGTTGACAGATGCAGCCAATTATCAGGTGTGTGTGGCATACATCAAGTCCAAACACATCGCGTCACCTTCCCCGGAGCAATGATCTGCAGAGCTCATGTACGAGGCTCAAACTGTGTGTTTGTTTCCACTCATTTGCATGTTTTACGAGGACTGTGGACGAAAATTGAGCGTTAACATCATGCACTTTGAACTCTGTCCTGTCCACTGTGCTCTCCACTCGTGTTGCCAGACCCTGTTAATTGGTGTATTTCACTGGTTTCAAAGTGGCCGACCAGTCCAGGAATTGTGTCCGCTTTCAATTTGTAGCAGAAATTAATGAGAGGATTCATATGGGAGTGCAGCAGCTACTCCTATTTTTCTTCCCTGTCTGCTAAACTCTTTAAATTAACTACAACGTGGTGAATTTCCATGAAGGATGGAGGAGTGCATTGTGTTTTAATTAATGCCATGCTGGCTTCTTAAAAGCTCTTTAAAAATATACCCCTGTAGTCACTGTGGTGCCTCATTAATGACTTGCTTGAAGCAGACATCACTTTGATCGCCACGATTTTACACCCACCTCCCTAAAGAAATATGAGTGCTACACTAATTGCCTCATGTTTATATTGATTATATCCACCTCCTCCAGTAGTCGCTCATCCTCCCCATCTTCAGTTTCTCGGAGCATATCGAGCCTGTCAGGAATCAGTACGTTCGAGGGATAAAGTGTACGGGCATGGCATTAAATGTCAACAATTTTCAGATTATCTGAGGCAACAGAAAACATTCAACCGTGAATAATGAGCAGCCGTATAGCTCCGACAAAACAAATCTCTGTACGGTTGTGGACAGCTACAGTTTGTGTTTGTACTGCTTGGAAATTTTCTACTACAATTTAAGCACTTTAATAGCAAGAAATAAGTGTTTCACATCGACTTGAATTGGATTGTGTAGTTTACATGAGCGCAAGCTAAATAATATCTCAGTTAATATCCCCGTTTACGACCATCTCTTCCCATCCTTTCATCAACCTTGATGTAATCAAAGTTTATAACATCCTACATTTCCTGTGGGCCTGAAGGTAATTGAATTGCTCTAAAAGGTCTTATCTCCGGAAAGCCTCCCTTCGCTCATCACAATCAATCATCCCCGTCTGATGCCTATTTATATTCCTCAAAATACGTCTGCCAAAAGATTTTATTTATTTATTTTCAGTGCATTTTCAGATTTATGCTGATGACTTCCTGGTTTGTGTGACAGCCGACAGAAGTGATTGAGGGCTCTGTCAAATACCCTGCTGGAGGGTGTCAGTTGCTTTCAAGGTGCATGAGGATCAAGGTGAGTGCACTCAGTGACTGGGGAAGTTTCACATTCATACAGTTACACATACAGTCTCCCCTGGGAGCTTCCCAGCACACCCACAGACAGCCAATCTTCCAGTGTTACATGGTGTCATGTTAGAGTTAGAATCTGAGATGTCTGGTGTCAAAAGAGGCACTGGTTCTTCAGTGAAGTAGTTGATTGGTCTGTTTAGAGTTAATTGAACATCTGTCTTTTCCAAGGGCCACCTTTGATTATACAGCTGACGTCATCACAAATATGCGTGCGTATGTTGGTACCAGAAGTATTTTGCCCCCGCCATCCAGACCAGTTAGCAAGCTTTAAACATTGACGTCATGAAGTCGCTCTCCCTCTGTGTCTGTTGCTATCAGAGCTTTTTCTTGATTTGTTGTTGGTTTGTTGCTTCCCCCTCAGGTAAACACTGTTAGCTCACATGGTTCACATTGTCTTTTTTTAATTTTTTTTATTATTGACTCATAAAATACAAACGGAAAAACTAAAGATACACAATTAATCAACATAGAAATGAGTCCTGCCGTTTCAAACCCCTCCAAACCAATACGCACATCTTAATCAGCTCTTTACCAACGCACCCCTCAAACAATATCAGTCATATTAACATTCAACTTCATTGCTTTATTGTAAATACTGTAGGACAGCTCTGAGAGAAAAAAAGGTGACAATTATTAGTTTAAATCAGTTTTCTCCTCTACGTTCCTTTTTATTTCATAGTGACATCAAGTATTTTTCCACTGTCGCCCATGTTTTAGCATATTCTGTCTCATTATTTTGCAGTCTGAAAGCTACCTTCTCCAACTTCATTTATTTTGCTTCAGTGATCCATTATTTCTGAGTTGTTGTATTGAAAGCAATCCATTTTTTTATGATACCCCTCTTTTGGACCGCAGATAATGAGAGAAGTTTGGAGTGGAATGGCTACATTAGTGTGGATCTTTTTTTTTATGCCAATCCAAAGACCAGAGTTCCTTCAGCAGCACCACATTTTATTAATTCACTGTCATCCTTTAGGCTAGTTTTATTTAGCTGTGACAGGGTCTAACATAATACACTTTTTCAGTATATTGACCATGTTAAAAAGTCTGTTTTCAAATTTCTGTGTCAACATTCAGTATGGGAATATTCTTTATAATATAATGCTCTAGACTCTAGTGATGTGATTTAAGGATGTATATTATTCAAATATTTTGAAACAGTTATTAGAAAATAGTTGTCGAGTTTAGGGATTCCATTTATTCTATTACTGTTATATTCATGCCATACTGGTTGATTTATTAAGGTAGCTGTTTTAATTCCAAGGACCGTTGTGCGTGATTTCAAGATGTCAATTTTTTAACCAATAACCGGAAAAAAACTATCACTCCCACAACACAGCACAAAACCTGTAAAAACTCTATCCGACACACAGAGAGCACATGTTAGTCCCCACACTGGACAGTTACATAATACATTAAGTGGGACAAAAACTGCAACCATTATTTCAGCTCTAACATAGTAACGGAGAATGTCTGTGCTCTTTTTCTATTTTCATTTGCTCCATTTATATCTACTTTCCAGCACAACACAAAGAACCACAGATAATGATGAGGACATTTGTGGGGGATTGCTTTAAAGGCAGTATCCCTGCTCTTTCTACTGTACTGGAATATGACCAAAACGTACACAACGGATCATGAAAAGGATTGACCATGATTATATCCGTAGTCCATCCGGTCACGGCAAGACGTGAATAGGAGAACAAAGGCTTTGGGAGTGTTTATAGACATTCTGTGTCAATGTTTAAGCCTCGAGACATTTGATAGGATGGATAATAGTGAAAGACGTTTGGTAGCTGTAGTACAACTAGATATCCTTGAGTATGAACATCTTGCCATTTTCTCCTTCCATATGCAGGTTGAGATTGTTTTACAAATCTCAAACCAGGATTTTTGTATTGTGACAGGCAACATTCGAATGTGACTGACAAAATGAAGGTTCACAATCTTTTTGAACTCAATGTCACAGAAGCACTTCTTCGATGTTAAAAACAGTACAAGATTTCTAGCAGCTAGAGGGAGGAGCCTGTTGGGAGGCTTTATCATTCCTAATTCACAGCAGTGATAAAGCCTCGTGAAAGAATCAGTGAGTTTTGTGATTTTGGTTTGTTTTTATGAAAAGTCTTTTACACGCTGGCACTAATCACAGTTGGAGTTTTGTGTATTTGTATGTAACAAGGTGAATCAATACTTCCTGCCAATGTTTGGTGCTGAAACATCCTCAAAGATGCTTGACAGGTATAGGATTCACCCTTCAAGCCTGAGATCACTGAGAAGGCAAAACACTTGACTTCATCAGCTGAGGTCGGGTCCCTTGTTAAAGCAGAGTGTGTGTGTGTGTGTGTGTGTGTGTGTGTGTGTGTGTGTGTGTGTG